GCATTCTCAATCTGGTTGCCTTACGGACCCTTTTTTTATTTTTGCTCTATTTTGATTTATTTTTATTTTTTCTGATTGATTTGCAGTCTATCGCTTATTGTGGTATTTTTAACTTTGGATTTCCGTGTTTTTTGCCTCTTTTGAACTACTTGTATGTCCCTATTGCCTTTTGGAATAAAACATTATTTTAAAAAACTTGAGTAGTGAAAATTCCCTCTTATTTAGCTCCATATTAAACAACTCTTCTTCATGGCATAATAAATATATGCTACAAAGCTGAATCTTTAAATTTGCTCTTGATTTTATGCTTTTTTTTTACTTCTTTTTTTCTTTTACTCTTCTCTCCTTCAATCTCCTAAACTCGAGAAATATATCCGTCCAACATTATTTTTTTCGCATGATAAAAGTGTTATAATTTTTTGACAAGATTTGCCCATTTTAAATAAAAACTAAAAAAATTAAGCAAAAAATATATTGATGTAATATATATATATATATTAGAGTTGACATTTAATAAAGAAAATTATGTATTATAATTTAAATTTGCATTTACATATTACAAATAATAAGTGCTTAATTTATAAGTATATCAAAAATGTTTTACTTTTTTAAGGGACAAATGGACATTGAAGCCGTATGCTGACATAACCAAAAGCTTAAGGATCCACTTACAATTATCCGGTCTATATGGACGCCAGCTGTGCACCGGAGAGTCCAAAATATCTCGCACAGAATGGATAATGATGGAACTATTTAATTTCAAAAGAAAAACAATATTATCTAATTCGAATTATCTGATATAATGACTATTTTAAGAGACCAGAAGATATTGTTATATTTATTTTTAAAATATATCTCTTCACTGGCTGGTAATTATAAAAATTAAAAAATGACAGATCCATGAAAGCAGTAGGGTGGGGGCCCCAAGCAGACCGCAATGCATCGGAGAGGTGCGAGCGAAAGATTTGGAGAATATTTGGTTAGGTACGGAGTGATTACATTGCTAAAAATAATCAAAGTTCTCTTTACTAATTTAAATTAGTGTTAAGCTTCTTTTCATAAATTTGCCTTATTAAGGGGCTCTTTAATAGGAAATATATTAATCTTGATATATCATCAAAAATAATAATTTTGATTGGGCAGGAAACACGAGGTAAAATTGAATCGAAATTTTCAAAATTAATTTTTGGACCATCCAAAATCCGATCTCAACAAACTTATAGTTGAATTGACCATCTCGAAGAGACGGATCCAACAACACAAAAATTAATCTAATACAACCCAAAATAGTCCGAATTGAGGGCCCAAAGCATGCTTGGAAACTTCAAAACATAAATTGGATATAAAATGATATCCGGTTATGACATGCTTATATTTGAATCGAGGGGCTCGACGAGACAACTCCAAAAAGGCAAAGATCATCAAATTTTGGCATCATAAAGGCAGTTAAATGCTCAATAAACGGTCTATGATTAAGGTAAGTAATATTAGTCATCCATTAAAAACACTCTCACCATGCCCTTAATCTTCCACCTATTTACTAGCTATGACACTAAAAAAAATATAAATAGACACATCATTCTTCACAAAAGGAATGGGGAGAAAAAAAGAAGAGACATCTGAGATCGCTATTGCCATCAAGCTCCTCGTGTAAAACCCTTCAAAAAGCTGATTTTTTTTAGTGCAGTTCGTCTGTACAACTGGATTTAGTACTGGACGAACTGAAGAAATTTGTGAGGAAATCTGTCATTTTCGTCTGTACGAACCTGGAGCAGTCGGGACGATCCGTTTGTACGAAATCTGTCCAGAGAGCAAGTCGCTTCTGCCTGACCACCCATTATCTTCAAACTACCGTCCGATCACCAACCATCGCCAAACTTCTGCTCGACCACTAACCATCGCCAAACTTCAACCTAGCCACTGACTGTCACTAAACTTTTGCCCAACCACATTGTTGACGTACTACCGCTTAGTCACCAACCATTGCTAGACTTCCGCTCAGCCGCCAATCGTTGCCTAACTATGGTTCTTCCGAACTCTATCACCAGCTGACGTCGGTCTCTCCAACAACCATCACCTGACTATAGTCTCATCGGCCACCATCATCCAACTGCGATCCTTCCGACATCAATTACCCGGCTTAAGTCTTTCTGACCGTCGTCGCCCGACTATGATATTTCCAACCTTCAACGAAAAAATACGGTCTTTCTGAACTCCATCGCCTTCTGTACGGTCTCTCCAACCGCCATCTCTAGCCTACGGCTTCCCCGACCGCTGACGCCTAACTAAGGTCCTTTCGACCACCTTCACGAACTACGATCCTTTAGACCTTCGTCGACTGAATACGGTCCTTTAGACCACCGTTATCCGACTATTATCTTTTCGACCTCCGTTGCCCATCGACTATGGTCATTCCGACCACCGTCACTAAAAATGATCCTTCTGATCTCTGTCACCCAACTACAGTCATTTCGATCATCGTCGTCTAACTACAGCTCTTCCGACCTACTTCACTCGTCGACTATGATCATGCTAATCACTGGAGCAGAATTTCCACTGATCGTCCCAGGACGATCCAGATCGTCCTGGACGATCCTGGAGCAGATTTTTGATATTACAGTACTACCTCTATAAAATGTATATTGGCTACATCGAGCCAAGGTCTTCCCCTCAAGAAAGTGCCTCATTTATAATCAACTATAAAACCTAGTGAATTCATTTAAATTGTGCAAAGCCCCAAAGTTTTTCCCCATTTTCAAGGTATTTTACATAAAAACTATAGTGTGGATATTCAAAATTCCTTATAAATTATTTTGCATTTATTTTACTTATAAAATTCATAAATTTCCTTAACTCTACCATCATAATCCACCAAATCAAATAACCCTAGAATAAAAAATTTTTGACTTGTTCCAAATTTTTTTTAAAGGAGCTAAAATAATCTTAAAATTGAATAAGTGCAACTTCACAATAAATTTCAAAACTTAATTATACACATGTTTTATTTTGAAAAATTGTCTAGTTAATTAAATAATTTTTTTATTTCAATTTAGCTTCTATTTTAGAGTTACAACAATACTTTTCAAATATTTAATTATTTTAAGAGAGTTCACCAATGTCCGTCTACAAAGAGCTTAGTTAAGGCTGCAAACGAATCGAGCCGAGCCGAGTATGTGAGTGTTCATGTTTGTGTTCATTTAATATCAGTTTGTTCAAGGTTGACACATGTTTATTTGGGCTTTATTGTTTGTGTTCATGTTTGGTTTATTTAAATTAACGAGTGTTCATGTTAGGTTTATGTTCAGTTCGTTTAGTGCTTATCAAACATGAACGAGTTATAAACGAGCTTAACTTTTAGATGTTCATTAACTTAACAAATGAGCTTTATCGAGCTTCATAACAAACGATTACATCGAGCATGTTCGCGAACATATTTAATGAATTTTTTTAAACTATCAAACAAACATGTTCATGAAAATATATATGAACAAACACATTTATAATAAAAATAATTGTCTATATAACAAAGGCAATGATTTATAAGTAAATCCCATGTTCACAGAATTTTTCTAACAGCAGCATTAACAAAAGCAATGATTTATACAATTACTTAGACAACAAGTTAAGTAATATCTGATACCTACAGCAATCTGATAGAGCGTTCTAATGGAAAGGAGAAGCGTTCTAAATCAAATATTATTTATTTTATCGAGCTTATTCACGAGTTTAAAATCGAACACGAATCGAGCCTCTTATCGAACTTAATGTCGAGCTTGTTCACGAGCTTCAAATGATGTTATTCGCGTTTGTTTATTTAAGAATCGAGTATTTAAAATCAAGGTTTTGAAAACCGGACCGAACCGGCCGGTTCAACCAGTTCGACCGTGAACCGGTCTGGTGGCCGGTCCGTTACAGCTTTAGAACCGGCTCTGCATAGAACCTAATCAACCGGATTGAACCGGCGGTTCAACCGGTGAGCCGTTGAATCGGTCCGGGTTGGAAAGAACCGGTTGGTTCATAAAAATATTTTATTTTTGTTTTAATTAAAATTCTAAAAATATTTTTTTGTTTATTAAAATTTTTTAAACTTTTAAAAATATTATTATTAAATATGATGATTAATTTCATCATAATACATGCAAGTTATCTTAAATACCTCTCATAATTTATTTTGCAAAGTGAGTGTACTTCTCACTTTATATAGGGTTCAAGGAAACATCTTTAAACTCCCCCTATGATGTGGGATTAAAGAAGTTGCATAAATAATTTAAAATGTGACTTAGGGCTTATTTGGGCTAGTTGGGCTTCAAAAATTTTTTTAGTTGGGCTGTCCGGTCCAGTTTTCACAACATTGTTTAAAATATTGTTCAAGTTTTTTTGTTTTTTTAATTAAATGATCACAAACGAGCTTTAATCGAACCGAATAACGAATAACTCGCCGAACGTTTGATTTGCTTGCAGCCCTAAGCTTAGCCAAGAGATACACGCAAGTGTTAGCCTTTTTGGGAATAGTATTAGCCTTTCTTCAATGGCCGAAATTTACGGTGATTAAGTTTATGATTTGATTGGGGTGAAAGCACTGCCGCTCTACCGAGCTATGATGTTTTTTTTTTTTTTTGGAAAACCGAGCTATGATGTTGGAGTTAAAGGATCGGAGCTGCATCAGAAAGATTCCAAATATGGGTCCAGTTGGCTCAGCCTACACAAAACTTTAGGGATCACAGAAAACAATAGCACTTCCAACTACAAATACTATCACACTTGTAACCATCTACATTATAAGAAATAAATCAATATTTTCCGCTTAACAAGAAAAAATATTTACCTTCTCATAAAAACAGCTGTGATAAAGATAAATTTTAACTAAAACTATTATCAAAATCTTAAAATTAAATTTCTGTTAATTAAAAATTGTATTTGACTTTAACAATACATATATTAGAAATTTAAAAAAAGCATCCGATTAACACTGGGCCCCATTATTCCTAGCTGACCACCACTAGAAACAAGTATATATTTGTATTTCATATATCTTTAAAAGGAATATTTTACAAAACATAAACGGCATTCACAACAACTCCGATTCATCAGCCCACTTTTCACAATTTATAATCAACAAAAAAAAAAAACATAAAACTAAAGCAGCAATTAAGTAAATAAATAAAAAGATTAAACGAGCGTAGCACAATTGAAAGTCTTCGGGTCCCACATCGCCGGCAACAAATACTCTCTCCCATTCACCCCCCGCGCATTATAGCTCGCCCCACTCTTCGTATCCACCAGCACCTTTCCCGGATACCCAGGGTAGGCCCCACTCCCAAATATCCCCGTACACGCCGTCACTGCCTCCAGCGGTGCAGCCGCCGGACCCTGAAAGTAGCCTCTGCCGTATGGGTTTGTCACAACCCCCGCAATCAACGTCGCCAAATTAATTACTATCCCCTCCACTCCCACATCCCCGCTCGGCGCCACCAGCGGCGCCGCCCCCGGGGGCCCGTACTCTGGCAAGGCGTACGGCCACGCACACTGCCCCGGACACTGCACTGCTGCGTTACCCACCCAAAGATAAGGAAACTTCACCCCGCTGTTTCGCGCCGCACCGTGGACCCCGCAACTGCTCATGCAGAAGCCATCGACGGCGACGTCTGCAGAGGTGAAGACGGCTGCGATGGCGTTCTTGATGGGACCACCAGCGGCGCGGCGAGCAAGGCGGCGTAGGGAGGCGGTGGTGAGGGAACGGCCGAGGGAGTAGGAGGTGTCGAGGATTTCGTGGCCGATGGAGATGACGGCCGCGCCGCCAGGGTAAGCGGCGGTGGTGGCCCACCAGGAGGCGGCGGAGGGAGGAGGGAGTTTGGAAGATGGAGAGAGAGAGACAATGAAGTCGGATATGGCAGCGCGTTGGGATGGCGTGAATTTGCCGTACCAGAGGATGTGCAGGGTGAGATTGCCTTTGAGAAGGGGGCCGTTGTGGTAGCGAAGAATGAGGGGCTGTTGCTGGACTAGGATAAGGCTGCGGTGAGGTGTGTATGAGGAGGATTGGAACGCCGTGGAGGACGATAGAAGCAACAGGAGGAGGAAAGGGAGGAGACGATAAGGTGCCATCTTGCGTCGAGGTGGCGGAGGAGAACGGAGGGGTTCGGGTTTATGTAGGGAGGGGGGATGGGTGGTGGAGGCCTCGATGGTGCCACGTGGAAGTCTAGTCGGATATATTGTGGATTTTTTTATCGATGCGTGTTTTACTTTAAACCGAGGATGACAGGCTGGATGATCAAAAGAGAAGCTGGGAACAGAGGCGTGGGTTTGGTAATGTGGATGTGGTAACTCTCCGGTGAACGAGCGTCCAGAAAAATTGCCATTTCGCGTGATCGTGGCAGATGACAATAGGCGTGGGTCTGTGTATGGGAGAATGGGACCGATCAAACTGGTGCAGCAGCATAATTAATGCTATAGATGTAAATGGGTTGAACCTGGTTGTTATTTATTTATTTTTTCTCGAATTAAGGTAAAATCATCCCATAGATTAGCTGTATTGTTATGCTTAATTAATTTATTGAAGTTGAGTTCAAATTTAAGTTTAATTCTTTTAATAAGAGTCAATGATAAATAAATTTGATTTAAATCTCTTATGATGAAATAATAAAAAATTTGTATGGGTCGGCAAAAGGAATTTTTTTTAGACTACAAACATAGTTTTTATTTGGTCTTTTTTTATTGTTTCAATAGTTCATTGTACTAAAAAGGTGTTTATTTATATGCTTTCAAAAAAGCTCATTTCTTCATCACAGTTTTACAATCATTTTTTTTTAAATTGCAATTATCTCAAACTAATTCTAAATTTCAAGTTGAATAGGATTTTGTTATTAAAAATTGAGAATTTCTTACAAATAGATTACAATAGAGTAATAAATATGGGTAAAATGGTTAAAAAAAAAAAAGATAAGCTTAACGGTCGTTGTTGGGGATGAAGAGTAAATCATTGCAATGAAATAAAAAAGAAAATGAAAAAGCAACGGAAAGTAAAGGAAGCCATGATTTAACATGGAAAAACCTGAAATCGAGGAAAAATTGCGGAGCCATATCACACCAAGAAATTCACTTAAAAATGGGGAGAAATAAGTACAAATCTTTCTTCTCTCTTGTTGCTTCTCTTCTCTTTGACATCATTCTCACACTCAAAATATAAGAGAAAGTCAAGTAAATAACACCAAAGGAAACAAAAATGATGTAAGAAAAATGAGAAGGAAAACTACAAAATTCACCTCGAACTCGCAGTGTGGCGGAGCTCAAGCTTCTGTCATTATGACGCTACGGCACTTTGCTCTCTAACAATCAATGTTCGGGTGCTCGTGAACACAATACCAGGGTGCTCAGCCCCGAGGAGTTATAGAAAAAAATACAGGTACAAAGCACTCGAACCCAAATAGAAGGTAAACCCCTGCACCCCCAACAAATACGACAAATTAAATTAAGATCCAAAATAGTAGTACATCCTGACTAATCTACACAATCAAATTCCACATATACTAACACTCGTTTTAACATTTAGACCCGAATATGACATAACAATCAGCTGGTTAATATTTTTGAGGACAACAGAAGAAAGTCAGTGATTAATTTGTTTTCAGATGTTCTTTAGACGTCTCTGTGGAAGGTGAGTATATTAATTGGTACTTTATTTCTTATAGTTGTTTTTAGCTATTTAAGCACTTTGACATTTATTACAGATATTTTCGGGTCTCAAGTTTAAATTCTTGAGTTTCCCTTTGGATCTACAAAATAAATTAAAATTAATTTGATATATCAATTACATAATCATTAAAAGAAAAGAAAATACATCAGTGCTATTTTACTAAATTGTTAGTAAGGAAAAAAATGTTAGTATATTTTTATGTAAAATACAATAGGTCGGGTTTCAAAGTTTTTGAATTTGAATCGAGATTAATGATGTAAATAACATCTTGAATTGAATAAATATTAACATATATTTAATACATTGAAGTCTATTCTAATGTGTTTTGCATTAATATATCCGGATTTCTTTCCCCAAACTAGGTCAGGGGAGGAGGAGTCAAACTAGGTCTTTTGGTAGTGTCTAGGGTTTTTTCAACCCAAACCTCATGAAAAACAATTTGCTTTACCTGTGAGCTTTCTTTCAACTTCTATAGTTATAATAGAACGCCTATATGATAGATAATAAATCATTTGGGTTGTGACATATGAAGAAGGGTGAGTGATGAGAATAGTCCTTCTAATTGATTGAAGATCTATGCACTTTCACCAATATATTGAAAATGCTTTGTGCTTATAATAGTTTTAATATGTGGCCAGCAATTATGTTTAGATTCTGATTTTTTATTTTGAATTGTTATTTAATATTGGCATACTAATCGAAATTATTCATTTATCAGAGCATAAGCCAAATAATTCTCATTATATATATATATATATTACTTAAGACGGTAATATCGTAATAGTGCAAAATTATTTGTTGCATCATTAGACTTTATTTGAATTTTGAGATAATTTTCTTAGTGTTAAATAAATTAGCTTTTGAATACAAATTTTTTAAGTTACAAAAAATCAGTGCGAAAAAATTATCGATCGCAAGCGATCACTTCATTACTCTATAGAGACAGTAGAGTACATGCAACAAGTAATGAGCGATCACTTTGATCATTGAAGCTCACGCTTATTTTATCGTCATTGCCTACCCTTACCTCAACATAATAAGAAAAAATTAGTAGCAATGGTTCACTGAAGCACAATGTAGTGCAAAATAAGATAGGAAGGATTTCTGGTGAAATACAATAAAGCCATCCCTTTGTCTACTTTTCATGATCCTTAACAACAGTTGGAATGGCTTTATCTTCACTCTCCCAAGTGGCAAAATAATAATAATAGAAGAATAATGTTTTTTAATTCTAACTTTGTAACATAAAAGAACCTTATACTGACTTTCTAAAAATGATAAGTAGTTTTAAGAAAAAGTCAAATAAAAAAAAATAAACTCACTAATTCAAATATGCAAGAAAAAAATGTTTTATAATTAAGTAATAACAATTTTGTTATTAAAAAAATTGGAAAGAAAATATGCTTAAAATTTTTAAAATGCAAGATGAAGATAGTTGAGACCATGATCAATGAGAGTTGTCTACAGGCCTAAAGATTATTTATATTATTTTTATGGCTGTGTTACAATAAAATATGAACTAAAAAATTATTCAAATATATATTTTCTTATTCTAAATAATATGGTACTCGAGCACTTTTATTAATTTCCTCAATATTCTCTTACTTCATCTCGTTTTTATTAGCTCAATAATTACGAAAATAAATAATTACTTTTTAGCCCAACAAAATATAATCAATTACGTGATTAATTTTATTTTTTTTTTAATTTATTGATTGTTAGTATAAGAGCTCGGAACAGAGAAAGAGAGAATAATTACTTGATTTGTGGACTGAAAAAGGAGGAGGAGACGTGGGCGCCTCTCTCTTTCTTGTGCCCATAAAAGACAGCGGCGTCGCTGTCAACACGGGTGTGAGTCCAGCTGGGCGGCTTACCTCATAGGTGCGGGGGATGGGGAAGATAAAGCTGTGAAGGTTTCCTCAGATGGAACTAATGGAAGCTTTAACATCACTCAAATGCATGAGAGGCCTGCCCGCACAGGCTTGTTTTTGAGATCCTGCCCTCACGTTAGAATTCCTCACGTTAAGGCTGCCAAGTTCCGAGTCTGAGCCCTCAGCTGGATTGTTTCGTATCCGTTTCAATTTCCATGAGCAAGATTCATGCTTGCTTGGATCGGTCTTATCGTGTACCATCCGCATTGGATATCGAAGTGGGGCCCGTTTGCGAGTTCCGTTGAAAAGACCGATGAGGGGAGATGTCCATTGTTTTGTCACCATACAATCTGATTTGGAGAAGCGGCTTATCTTTTATTTATTATTTTGAGAGTTTTGATTATTAATTAAGAGATTTTGAATTGAAAATTTAAGTATATGATATGTGTATGAATTTATTTTAGTTGGCCCTAATATTACAAAAAATAAAATTGGATAAGTTGTGAGGCTATTGGATAGGAGAAAGTATTATGTGTGGAGATCAAAAGCAGAACGTCGTCTGGAGACTAATTATAATGCGTCATGTTAGCGGTACGAGCCGTGGTACCGAACTGTACAGAGCCACGGTATCAAACACAGGGGTGACGTGGCCCATTATGACTGACCTCTAGATGATGTTCGGTGTCCGCACAAAATAATTAATCGAAATAGTGGTTCAATGAAAGAATTATATGAATAATGAAAAAAATACATATGAGATTTTAAGTGAATTAAGTTATAAATATATTTTATGTTAAAATTAATCTAATATTTAGATATAATATGAGATATTTTCCTGGCATGATGACATCATAAAATGAATATATATGATTTTCTTATATCAATATAATTATATTGATGATTGATATGGGTCTATAAAATTTGTTAAAAGCAACAAAAAAAGAGCCAAAAAATATCTCAAACGAATTCTAAGAAAACTCAAAAACAATTATGCCTTAGCTTTCTACCTAATTTCGTGCTAGAACAATTGCATGATTTTGTTGTTTAAGAAAATTGAATAAATTATTACTTTTTCTAGAAAAACTAAGGGTCCATTTGGGTCGTTGTAGGTTTTTATAAAGGTGATTGTGGAGATGTTATACAGAAAATAATTTTTTTTAAAAACAGTTGTATAAAATATTTTTTAGCTCAATTTCTTTTTTGAGAGTAACAAAAAATAGTATCTGAATATAAATTGTGATTGCGTCATAAAAAGAAAAGCAGTAAGAAAAGCTATGCCAAATGAAACTGTTTTTAAATATTGAGTTAAATTAAAGTATAATTAGAATTTTGTTGAATATTATTCATTGTATTCATTTTTTGTATTATCAATAATAATTAACTTGAAATGTTAATATTAATTAATTTTGACTAAAATAAATGAAAATATTAATATTAAAATAAAGAATTTGTCTCTTTGTGGCATTTCTTTTTTTGAGGAAAAATTTTAGGCACAACCCTACTCATTAATAAAAAAAAGTTACATGTGAGATATCAATTATAAC